TAATCACAGCATGCCTCCATCATTTAAAAGTCCAGCGAAGGAAGATTTAGGTCGCATCCTTAAGTGGTTTCAGTAGGTGTTCATATGGAAATCCTGAGAATAAATGACCCAGCATCTGTTGCTTAGTCTAGACTAGTGGTTTTAAATCTGTTATCTCTAGACCACTGTCCTGGGTCTCCATTCAGATGTTCCATGGAAAGATTGCCTCATTACGAAAAATGTTATTATAGTGTGTGTGTAAAATATATATATCCTTTTATGGTCCTCCAAGATAAAAAAAATTCAGGTGGTCCACAAACGAAAAAGTTTTAAGAACGATTGGTCTAAATGTTACAGCACTCGTTGTCATTAAACACCTCAAACCTGAATAATTCTGTACCTGAGAGGCCATAGTAGCAGAATTACATCAGTGATTCATCCTAGTAGAAACCTAAACCATTTGCTGAGTAGAATTCAAGACTCATAAACATAGTGCTCACGAACACTTAGCTGTATATGCCAATAAATTGCAATGCTTACATTGTAAAGCATACCCCAGCATGATGGCATATCTTGGTTGATAAAGTTGTGGAGCGACTTCGAAATGAGTCTGTGTGACACCACTTGGGTTTTATAGATTAACAAAAACTGTTACTGTGGTAAGTGATTTGAAGTGGCATCTTCAAACTAGTTATCTGGTCAGCCAAAAACAGTACCCACGTGTACTGACCCAACGTTACGAGAACCTACAACAAATGGTGCCATTTACACAGATGCAGTATAGCAACTCGACCTGGTCTGAGTGACCCATCAGTCAAGCAGCAGAGATATATTGAACTCATCACACTGGTTATGGCAATGATATGAATAGAGAGGCACCCTTACCCATGGGATGAGAACATATGTTGTAGTTATGAACAATTTAGTCACTTCTGACATAGGTGTCTTTTCCCTATACTATCACAGGGACGCAAATACTCACCTAATAAGCTCAATAATTGATAAAAGGCTCTGGAGAGAAGATAGGCAGCAATTCTACTAGATCCACTAATTTAATCTATCAGGCCTGACCTCTAATCTGGGAAAAATAGTTATCTGTTTCTTTCTTTAGGTATGGTAGTTGCTATAATGTCTACAAGAATGAGCATAGTTTGGTATATGCCTGTGAAAGTGGGTTTTTCATTTGATACTGGTTCAGCTAAAACTCCACTTGGCCTTGCAGAATATCAATCGTTAATATGTAAACCATGTAACATTTAACTAGCAATGTTTTCCTTGTGGTGATTGGAGAAGCTTGACTCTTTCTAACTGTTGGTACTAGTACAAGACATTGGTTCAAGTATTGGCATTTATGGTTTAGAGTTCCTAACAAAGTTAACACAGCTCCATCTTTTATATGGATAGTGTTCGTGGAGAACTAAGAATATAATCTCGGGTAGCACCATTAGCTAATATTGTGGTTGAAGCAACACCTAAAACATGGTTTTGTAATGAAAAACCAAGCTGCACTTGGTCGAGTTGTTATATCTCTGAGAGTAAGGTACAGCTTGGTTACAGTTTGTGACTATGGATGAGAAACAGTGAATATTCCAGTTGGAATATGAAGTGATCAAAATTAGTGGCTCAGTTAGTGTTATTGTGGCCGTATTGCACTGAAAAATAGATATATATTTGCACTATGCAGATAACCTCAATTCAGATCAGCAGTGAGTACTTGGGAGATTACTGAAGAATTTTGCTGATGTATTTATTAGAACAGATGGTCAGCTGGAGAGTACAAACTTTACCCAGTATCATATAGACACTGGGGATGCAAATCCTATTAATTGATAATAAATTATCATATCAGCTTCCTTTGACCACCAAGGATGTACCGAACACTGAGATAGATCATATACTAAAAGACAAGCTCATATAACCTTTGGAGAGTGCTTGGTCATTGCCAGTAGTTGTCATACTGAACCTCTGTGTTTTGGTGTACATACCAGTGATTTGGATTTAGTTTTAGAATGGTATAGATGAACACTTTACTGTTTATATTTTAGTTGCAGAATGTATTGGATTTAAATAGTATATGTGAAATCCAAACATTCACCTATATACTGATACCATAGGAACTTTGATGTGTAGCAAGAATCTAGATTTCACCAACCATCACTTTATGCTGGAATATGAACTCTAGATAGGTTGACTAACGTGATGTCATAAGTAGGAATAGGCGGAACGATGGCCATATCCACTATGAGGTTGCACTGTATCAAAAACCACCAAGTGTTCTAATGTCATCCCGCCCATTCCTACCTTATTTCCTTACGTTTTGGTGCTCCCATTCATACTTCCTAATTTTTAAAAAATTTACAATTACATGTTCTTACTCGATAGCTCAGACAATTAAATGAGTAGAGTCTGGGGAATTATAATGGTGTGAGAAAACAAAAGGACATCTTTCCTAAGCTGTCAAAGGAGATAACAATGAAAAATTATCCCAATACCCAAGTAAATAAACCTATTTAGCAAAGAAAGTCAAATCAGCAGGTGAGTTAAAAATGCCAAAAAAGGAAGGGCTCCAACCCACACCTAAGTTTTAGAGGAACTTGCCACTGCTACTACAATGTTTGCTGCCTCCGCATCATTAGCAGGCTGTGTGGGAACACTGGAGCTCCGGACAAGCATCATAAAGGGATACGACTCATGAGCAGTGAGGAAGAGGAGATACCACCTCCAAACTCAGGCAATGTGCTAGAATGCTATCTGGGTCTTCACACTTCATGAAGAGGATCAATACGAAAAAGACCCTAGTGTTGAAATCCAACAACTTTAGGCGGACCTGACCAAAAATTGCATTAAGCTAACCAAAATTGCAGAAATCGTTTGAGGGACATCAATCCACAGCAGCCCTACATGACCTATAATTTTATTCTTATTTTTTTATTGCAAGTATATTTTAAATAATTTTATTTCATAAATGTTGTGTAAATGTTTTTTCATCTCATTTTTGTACATATGAAAAAAAGAGAGATTGTGCTTGCAATGTTGTCTGATGTAATTTTGATGTACCATTCTGCTTTATTTCTAAATCTTGTGTGATTTAATTTGAGGTTACAATTTAATATTAGTTGTTTTAGTTAGTAATCCCTTTCCATTTGTATAATTATAATAAATTATTACTATTTCTAGCAAATTCAGCAGTTAAGTATTACCTTTTCTTTTAAGTGTTACCTTTGTTATTTGTTTTCTGCCCTTTTCTGTACTCTTTCGACTTCATGTTTATTTTTATTTTGTTTTATTTACTATAATTGTGATATAATATAAGTAAAGGATTCGTTCCCTGATTAGTAAATGCATATCATCTGTGAATGTTTTAATTTAAAGGCTTTAATTTGTTTTGATCCATATATATTATGTCGTATTTGAATTTTAATTGTTGTTGCTATATATTTTTGCTGTGTATTTAATTTTTAATTGGGTTTGTTATGATAACCTTCTTTAAGTATTTGAATGTGTTAGTTGAGGACACTTATTACCACGTTGTTCCATTATGTGACGCCAGTATTCAGTCTGAACGAGGTTTGTGGTCTTGTGGTGGTGATCACAATTTCACCAGATCGCGTTGTAACCTGTAATTGGTTTTAAGTTTAAACTAATGTTAGTTTGAGGACAAGTCTGAGATAATGGGAAGGAAGGTTGTAGTATGCAATTGCTACATATCTTATTCTCTAATAGCATATATATCTTATCTGTAAAATTCTTGACTTTTCCTACGTTTTATTTCTACAATTTTCCAGACCCTAGTTCAGGTTACGTGATAAATTACAACCTGGTCAAGGAATTTATCTCCTGCTTCATGGAATAGTTGCATGATGTACTTCGTGACCTTATTTTTGAGTTAAACCTTGTGCCTGTAACATGGAGGCAGGGATATTTTCACATTTTGGTGCAGAGGTAATGCGCTTTTTACATTCGTGTTGGCGATTTCAGAGATTTCACTGGTCTGACCTTCAAGAGTTAGAATTGCTGCTGTCCTGAAGGGGCCAAGACTCGCTGGCAGAAGTTCTGTCTTTATGTCATTTTTAAATCTTGTGCTGACCGTTTGAGCTTTCGTTAAATTCAGTTTAACTCATTATCTCCATAATTTATTTTATTTCCCCTACCATTCAGGCGATCGCCTGGACCCTTTATGTTCCTTGTATTTTATTTAATTTAGCTCGGAAAATAAAGTTTTTTAAAAATCTTTTTAACTTCAATATAATTACTTCCTTTATTTCACCTGTCACAAATCACTACATATTTCTTTCTGCGTATTACGTCTTAGCGATCAGGTAAATGTTCGGAGGTGTAGCCTTGAATTACCACAGTAGCAAGTGTCCGTAGACTATTCATAAACGAAATATACTGTTTAAATCATTAAGAAATTAAGTATCTTTATATAAAACACTATTATTATTATTATTATGTTAAAGTATATTTTTTGACTTCATACACATTTCCTTACCTTCCACTCTCCCGTAATATCTATTATTCTTAACACTTCTTGTTTCTAATAGTTATTCACGTGTTTACAGTCTACAAATTTCATTGAATAACTTTTTTTGGTTGTTGTTAAGTACAAAGCTACACAATGGACAATCTTTGCTTTGTCCACTGTGGGTATTGAAACCCAATTTTTATGTTATAAACCCTCAAGTTTATCGCTGAGCCAACGGTGACTAAATGAATAGTAAACTGTCAATTTGTTGTATAGTTTCACATATCTATTAATTAACGTTTTTCAATATGTTGATATATAAATCCAGTTAAATTTTCAACGATTAATCAATATATAAATAATAACCATTTGTTACAAATATTAACAAATAAAATATTTTTAACGCCAGTTCTCAAATTTGTATAAATAATATACACTGTTGTTTCTTGAATTTCAGTGTTGTAGCTTATAAAAACCAGATAATTGGCTTAATACATTCACTTTCAGTTGTTTCTTGTTTACATTGTAGATGAAATGTTGATAAACTCTTATTTAGAAAGAAAAAAAGCATCACAAGAAGTTCCTGGACAAGATAGAATTGCTAGCATGACGTCATCCAAAACAGAGCCTATTTCCAAGCCGACAACAACGCTGGAAGCCTCAACGCTCAAAAAAGGGTTGCTATGGCAACAGAGAGACAAGTTCTTCAGCCGCTGGAAAGAGCGTTATTTTGTTCTCACCCGAGATTATCTTGCATGTTTTAAAAAAGAAGCGAAGGTTGGGGTATCAGAAATGGGAAGCTTCTTGTACAAGGTACACAATTTAAAATTGAATGGTATTGTAACCATTGTGACTTATTTTCAATGAAATTGTTTAACGTCTACTTAATTTTGATATAAAGTTATAAGATTGAAACAAAAGAACCACGGGTAGATATATATATGCTACGATTATTTATGTATTCACATTTGAAATCATTTCAAATATGAGTAATGTTTGAAACTTCCAGTTAAGAATAATGTCACAAGATTGTCGTAAGATTTTATAATATAATCTTTATTACCAAATGTTTTAGATTATCTAAATCATGTTATTAATAGATTAACCTAGTTGACATCGAAGGACTCCAGTGGACAGACAAGAAACGTGAAGGTGTGATCACTGTAGGTCTTGATCATGAAGGTCGGTTAATGCTGTGGAATCCGACAGAACTAGGTGACTGGATGTTTGCCCTGCAGGAGGCTACTGGTTTGAGCAAGGGAAGACGAGAAATTCTCAGAAAATCTCAAAGCTTGCTTCCTCAGATAACCGATAGAAAACTTACTCGCAGGTAATTTACATTATGATAAGCTTTTCTTGTTCTGCGTCTCAATATACGTATTCCAATTAGGTAATTCGTTGTTCTAACACCGAGAGATGGGAAACAAAAGATCAAGTAATTTTTTTTTCAGAAAATTGTTAATTTTTTTTTCTTGGCCACATAGTATTGTTTACTGAACCTTATGTTGATAATGGACATCTAGAAAACTTATTACTCGCAGGCAAGGAAACAAATTTGGATTGTGGGTAAATTAAGAAGTGGAAAAGTGATGGTTGAGAATAGCGATAAGCTGGATTGGCTGTCCGGATTAGCAAAACAAAAGAAAGAAGGAAACACTTTTATTAAAAATGTTAAATAAAATAGTTCCCTAAAATCAATTTAATAGAATTAATAGTATTTTAAACCAAATGGACCTACTTTCGAATCGCTTGTAACGTAATGTTCCTACAACTTCTGAGTATTGATATTAATGAAATATGTCGTAGAAGCTGACAACCAAACATATATATATATTGAGTACAGAACAAGTGCTCACCAGAATATAACTCTAAATATGTTTGTTGAATGTATACTATAGGTAATGTGCAGATAATTGGCTTTCGAATGCAGCAGCCTTATTCTTAAGCTAGTCACACATTTTCTCTTTGATGTTCCTGAACTTTCCCTTAGAAGGTATCGTTGGATAATTCTTTACACTTGTAATATTGGTTGTGTAAAGACTTAGGAATACATGGAGACTATTTCCTCCCTGTTTTTACTTATGAAATGACCAAATTAAGTGGGGGACAAGTTAGGGTGACTAGATTTTCAAGTCATAAAACTAGGACATACTCAAATTTTGATATCTTAAAAGAGGGACCTTTCTTTTTTTTTTTTTTTGAAAGGAAATTATAAACAAGCAGTTATGAAAATAATAAATATCATTAAGTGAAAAGAATATTTTTACTTTGCTTATTGCTGCCACAAGTGCCTTTCTGATGATTGAGTCTTTTGGAGAACTTCTTGTTAGCTAGGATTTTGTTATAAAATTGTGAGCAACTGTCATCATGTTCAACCATGAATTACTTTAAATAAAAGCTTCAATACATGAAACCGAATACTAACTGTGAAGATGCATTTATATTTGACTGTCTCTCTTTGTTATGCAATGCAATAGTGACATCATCTGCTGCAGCCTTTCTTATAATTATCTTCAGAGGAAACAACAAAGGCCTTCTGAGTCATTCCAGGCTTTGTGATAATTTCCCTACTCGTTAAAAAAATCTTTTGTCAAAGGGCTGTAGTATAACTATGTACAGAAGTAAAATGTAGTTACAGAGTACTTTCAAAAATGGAAATTGGACATTTAGGCCACTAAACCATTTATCGGGACACCAGGACAACTTTTTAAAACTTGGTCGTCTGGTCACCCTATCTATAAAACATTAAATGTTTAAAGAATTTTTACTTTGTCCTAATAGGAAGCCTTGAAAGTACATTATTTTCTCTACAGCCAGTTGGAAATACTAAAACACAATCTCAACGATGATGTTACGTCATCTTCTGTGCATTACCGAAACCGAAGCTCAGAACAGCGAGAAAATGGAAACATACGGCCAACTTCGGAAAGGCAATCAACACCACATCTCGGAAAACGAGACCAAAGGATGTCAGGTAAAAATCTAATTTTAATTTTTAGGTTAATAATCTCAGACAACTTCTTACTATTTCAGGTCTATGTATTTCGAGGCTAAAGTTTTAAACGGAAAGTCCAAAGTTTAAGCATGCAATGGATAACGTAATTAGTCTAAAAATAGTGCAATGGTTACAAGTTTTTCTTTGCTTGTTTGTTTTATATAACAGATATAGTAAACAATGACAGCTACAGTTTGAGCGCTGAAAGCTTACGATACAATGGAAACCAATAGGCTTAACATTTATGATAAAAATCATGTAACTTGCAGTTATGTTATTGAACTAACCACCTCCTGGTCAGTGACTTGTGGGAGGTAAAAGATATTTTTACACATATCTAATTTGGAATCTGAAATGGACAAACAAGAGGAATGCCGAAAAGAAACATTTTCAGTTTAAGTGATTTTTATCACAAATGTTAGGCCCATTAAAATACTAAACAAAGGCCAATAGATTCTCAGTAATCTCTGACAATATATCAAAAGGTTTAAGTTCCAGCATAGTTTAAAAAATGGGCACAAAAATATTTTAGCCCATAACATGGGTGAAAGTATGCTTTCTCAAAGCGTTCTTGTTATTAGGGAGGTTTTAACTGAGAAAACTTTATCTACAAGCATTAGGAAAAAAATTATCGCAAAATATAATAGCTATATAGGGCTGGCTACTGAACTTGAAAAAAGGAACCAAACAAGATAAGGATAGAAGTGGATATATCACTTGATCAGCTAATGATCATATGGCAGACTAAGCTACCTCGACCTTGCCTTGTCTATCGAAAGCTTGGTGTTTTAACAGAATCTCAGCTTTCATCATTATATCTTTCCTTTAGTTAAATTTAGAATACTACTTTTATGACTATCTTACAATAGAGTAACGTTTTACGATTGTAAATTCTGGTTATATTTGTTTTGCCACTGAAGATGCCAATAAGGTAGGGATTTTATGCTCCATTTAAAGTCGAAACGGCTTAGTCTGCTATGTGAGCATTAGCTGGATCAAGTGATATACCCACTTCCGTCCCTATCTTGTTTGGTTTCTTTTTTCAAGTCCAGTAGCCAGTCTTACATAACTGTTTTATTTATCGATAATATTTTTTTTCTAATAATTGTTTATTTACTTTTGTTATAAGATGGCGTACGTGGGATACTAGGTTATAGAGTGTATTCTAAAGCTTTATAAATTCTTCATAGGTTAATGATAAAATAGGTAGTCAAGATCATGAAGATTGTTTTGCTCTATCAAATGATGATAAAATTATAGTTACTGCTAGAACTAGTCAGGCACAAGGCTTGTTGAAGAAAGATGGTGATGAACGAAAATAGAAAATCTCGGTTTTTGGCTATTCGCCATTTTTCGATTTTGGGACACTCTGGATACCTGAAAAACGGCATAAACACCGGACACAGAGTGACTATGCCAGGTAGCACTTCATATCTAGTTTCTTATGACTTGTACAGAAGAAAATTCAGATGACTTTTGTATTCTTTAATACGGGCGTCTGTGCCATGCCTACATAAAGAGTACTGTCGCACTCTTCTATATAATCACCAGCGTCAAATTGTTTGTGTTTACTAATGAGCTATTTATGCTGTACTCGCTATGGGTATTGAAACCCGATTTTTAGCGTCATATGTCCGAAAACTTACTGTTGAGCTACTGAAGATGGGGGGGGGGTGCTCAGGCGTCAAGAAAAAAGAAAGAAAAAGCTCTATTGTGCTTTTGCGTGAAATTACCATTAATGAAACGTAAATCCCACTTCAGAGATAAAATGATTTTGTAACAATCGCTTGTTCTCGTTTTTCAATAGGTTGACATGATAATTAATTGGTATACAATAATTTTCAACTATGGTCTTGATGCCATTTTTGATTTAAATCAGTGGTTCCCTGGGGCATGTATGTGGTATGCAAGAATACCATGCTTTGTTTTACCTCCTTATTGTAATATAAAAATTTTCAAAGTGTTTTTATTTATTTTAAGACTATGCAAGTTTCGTATAACATGTGGTTCAGGAAACTGATATGTTGACTTCGTTCTAGTTGCCTTTGTTCCTTTTTTGTTCTCTAGAAATAATACCTGCTCAGCCCCCAGGATATATTGCTGTGACGCTGCATGTTGTGCAAGGATGTCGACAATACTAATGTCCTTCATTGGTAGGGCAGATGATATCTAGAGGTTATGGCCTCCCCTATGTTAAGTGAGAATGATCAATTACGTAAGTAGTGCTAGTCAGACATTTCTGGTTCAATCTACACAGAATCTCAAGGGAGTTGGTTGACGGGACATCGCGATGGGAAAATATCTACTGATCAATTCACAATTCTAATAGTCCAGTGTTCAGAAAGCAAGAGCACATACTGTGTTTGTTCATTGATTAAAATTGGGATTACTTTCATTTTGAGGAACACATTGTGTCCAGTCAGCTTATTTCTTGGCTTGAATTCAGTTAGTTTAGTTAAATTCAGACTTCATAATTTATCGTATTGCTCCTCCCATTATAAAGCAGATCGACCAAATATTTTTTGAAGAAATCGGTTAAACTGAGGCACGCGAAGCCATTCCTGGATGTACGGAAGAATCTTTGAAAAACATTAAAAAGAAAATAAACCACACGCCTCAAAACTGAAGGACAGTCTCGTGAGTTACCAATATATTCCGTTAACCAGTACTCAACTTTCCTGTATTGTTGAGTTACCCTTGAATTATTTACTTGGATTTACCAGGTGCGGGATTTCGGAGCTGGCAAGCCAGGTTCAAATCTGTGCGATACCACAATATTTTCCCCGTACTTTAAGCTGAGGGTGCATTATAAAAGGAACAGTCAATTCCTTAGTGTGGCTGACGTGTGGTAGAGTGCTAATGACTGACCGCCTTTCTCCTGGTCACTAGTTCGAAATTAGGGATGGCAGCAGATAACCTTAGTAGCTTTGCCATAAATACAAAATGCAAATACTTTTGATTTATCTTTTTTTTAATTAATAAACAAATCTCATAATTTTTTTAACAAATTATATGCGTAAGAAATATGCTGCTGGCTTAAAGCAGCTTAAAGGTCGGACTGGGGATACTCAACATAAAAAGGTTGGAAACCATTTGTTTATATAATAATCGATTTTTAACCTAGAGGCACTTAATTTTTGTCAGCAGTACTAGACTATGTTAATATTGTTTTTCTTGTTTCACGTGATTGAAATATTATAACAGCTACAGGGCTTTTCAAAAGTCTTCACCTCCTGTGCTGGTAATCAGTTTTGGTTATTTTTTTGTGAAAGATATAGCTCAAATGGCCAAAAATATTTATTACATTAATCTCAGACCAGTTTCTAATAATTACAAAGAACAAAAGGTGCGATGTTACTCACTTTAGTGATATAACACAAAAACCTGCGGGTGTTGGAATGTATGAGTAATGCTTAATTTAAAATTTTTACAGAAAACAGTAAAATCTAAATGTATGGAATATTTGTTTGTACTTCAAGTACCGTGTAAGAAATTTAGATACTACGTGGGAAACCTATGCACACTGCGACTAGAAACTCACTAAACAAATAAGCACAGAGTATCACTAGAAAAGTTAGTATGTAAAGTCTAATTTTTTAATAATCATTTGAGGAAGCATTTCTATGCTACGTTCCTGTGACTGGTATATACCAAAATATGTTGTCCATTTAAGGTCTTTCTCATATGCCATTTTTAGGCAGAAGGCAGCCAGCAACGTGCTATTTTCTGCATAATTAAAAAAAATCATTCTCTATTACAAAAGGTACATAAATACCCATATGTTTGTAGGTTTTTTAGGAGGAGACTTTTTTATTCATATTTTTCTTTTGATAGTGATGACAGACATTGATCTATATGATGATCTTGGTGCCGATGTCAGTGTCCTCTACCGAGCTGTTATCTCACCAAGGCTAGCGCCACAATGCTCTTCAGGGTCTCTCTCCTCATTGGTGTCGTACGTAAGAAGTCCAGCAGCTCGAAGTCACCTTGAGAAAGTTTCGCCTCGCTCTCTGGGAATGTCACCAGCACTCTCTGACCATTCTTTGTACGCTCAACATATATTATCTACATCAGAAATTTCGACCAATGATACAAAGCGAAAAAAAATCGGATCTGCTACTGCTAATTCTGAATTTTCATACATTCGTTCCGATATACCAGTTTCTAGTCTTTCCGCCAAAGAGAGCATTGGTCGACTGTGCCAAACCTCGGTCATTAGTGAGACGACTGATTGTGAAGGTTCAGTATCATGGACAACAAAGGTACTTGCTCAACTCGAAAAGCTCCATATTTTAAATCCTTCAGGTGAAAATGTACGACCTTCCAGCATTTATGGACAACCTTCTTTAACTTCAGCGGCATCTGTGTTTTCAACCATACCGCCAGATGTTGTTCCTGCGGCGATCAATGGTCATCCTGAACTGAAACAGCCATATAAGCGTTTTACGCGTCCGTATCAGTACACTAAATCGGACACGTCATTCAGCTTTGGTTCTTAATACCTAATCAAAAATAAAGACACTTGGTACTGATATGATAGTGATGTGCACACTGTGATAGAACAGGTGTTCCTGTCAGTAGTTAAAAGTCTTCATATCTACTGTTTTATAATCTTATAAAAAAACAACACAGTCCTCAAAATATGTTACATAAAAAATAAAGTGATACCACTAAAGTAACTAACTGAAGAGCGTTTATAAATACTTATTAGTGGTCTCTATATATGCAATATTTTAGATACCAAATCTTAGATATTTTGGTATGAATGACAATTTCCGTACGTGTTCCCAACATTTGGCCAATAATCCTTTGTTGCACACCTGAACAGATACAACCAAAACCACAAAGATAACAGAATAGATTATTTTGTTAATCTTACATTCTATTTTTTATATGAAAATTTTTAATAAGTCTGTAACATACAGTGTTTCATCTGATTTGTCATAATCGTAGACAAGAATGCGACGGGTGTGATCGCATTCCCTAAATTGCGCCCGTTTATCTATAAAACATATTTAAAAGTGTAAATACAGCCTCAAATACCATCAAAATGCTTCATTTTCATTGAAAATTTCCTTATTTACAGTTGTCTGCTTACGTCCGTATTAATAGTATCAGAGTTTGTATTCAAGTAGTATCTCATTAAAATACATAGAAAAATGTGGTTAACAGAAATAAAATGGTGGCCGTTTATATTTTGTCTAAATAAATATCTGTTCTGTACAAAAAAAAAATTTTTTGCATATGCAAATAACCTGATTGTTAAATGTTATTTTAGCATGTTTGACCACTGTTAATTGTTAGAAAATTTCACGCAAATATTTTAACTTTTATTATAGTATTATTGTTGGAAAAAAAATGAAATCTACCTATTAAAAACGTAAAAAAATTCGCAGTTTCCTCGTCATTTACCATAATGCCAAATTCAGAGTTTTGAGTGTTATAATAAATTTTTAACATAAAAACATCTTCATACAGTACTCCAGGGCTTATTAAAATATCTAAACATTATAAGTTGAGGAGGAGTTTCAACTATGGGGTAAAAAGAACAATAAATGTATATAGTCATTATGAAACAAAACGGCATAGTAGTGTAAATGTGGTGAATTTGGGATATTTAAGTATTTGGCATTTTAGAAAATGATGAGGAAAATCATGTGTTTTTTAAACCGATTCCAGTAGTAGATTCCTTTTTTTTCCAGAAATAATTCTGTAAAAAGTCAACATTTTGAAACAGAAAATCTCTTATAATTAGTGATCAAATATCCTAAAATGACTTTTTATAATTACCTCATTTGCATATGCAAAAGCCTCTTTTTTTCACTTAACAAATACCTCTATGGACATTTCGTTTCTGTTGACTTTATTGACCTAAAAGTAGGGTAAACAGTTCCGTTTTTTCTATGTATTTCAATGAGATACGACTTGAATATTAAACTCTGATCATTTATTTTACCAGTACTCCTTTGATTGTAATAGAAAAAATTCCAGTTCTGAAATAGAAATATTATTAAATATTGAGATCATTTTGTGTTATTATTTGTTTAATCATACGACACTACAATCCCAAATGAAGAAAATATTCGAAATGTTTAATTTCATTAAAAAATACTAGTCGACAGATTGTGTTCATGACGATTTTTATAGCCAGAATAAATAACATTTGTACAAATTTATTTTAAAATACATATGTCGGATATTTTATTTTCGAACATTTTACTGGTGCGTTTTAAAAAAGTTGAAAGAAATATGAATTTATCAGAATAAACAAGCTTTCACAGTGTGCTGTGTTCCGGTTAAGTGTAAGTCAGTTTTATAACAAAAGAATAGTTAACTTTTAAATATGCTACAAAAAGAACATTGAAATTACTATCTCTAGTCGTTATTTTCCCGTCAACTCTTAAGCGTTTTTCTCAAATAATCGACCATCGGTATCTTAATGGTACAAACGAATATGGACATAAGATGTAAAAAGGGAGAAACTTCTGATCTTTTTTTTTTTTCCATTTCTGAAAAGTTTATTGTTTAGTTAGAAACGGACAACCTTGTTATAATTGGTGCCATGTTTGGAAATTATTGTGTTCTTCGTAACACAAAATATTTTTGTGTAATACCTTGTTTTCAAGCTTTTAAAATTATATAAAACCTTTAAGGTTAAAGTAAAAAACGGAAAACAAATCATGTAATAAACTGTGGTTAGCGTGTACTTTAAAAACATCTATTATTTCAAATGTGATTTAGCTTAAGGCTCCACAACATGTACGCTTCTGACAGACTTTCAAGATGTATAACGAAATAATTTCGATATTAATCTTTATTTGAAAATATTTTAATCGTTTTTTTTTTTTTCATAGATTAAAAAGTTGTTTTTGTGAAATAATTGATGCTAAAATAAATGCTTAATTGCTAAAATGTTAGTCTTTTTTATTTGCCATTATTCAAAGTTCTACAAGAGGTACACCTTTAAAAGTTTTTGTTCCTGTTTATTTAGGTTTACGTTTAGCATCGCTGTTGACAACAAACAGTCAGATGAAAGTACTACCATAATAAATTTGTGACAACTCCAAATCTTATGCGATATTTCTTTCGTTCTCCCTCGCTTTCTATGGCCCCCAGTGACGAAGCGGTATGTCTACGGACTTACAACGCTAGAATCCGGGTTTCTATACCCGTGGTGGGCAAAGCACAGATAGCCCATTGTGTAGCTTTGTGTTAGACACAGACCGTATACATGTATATATACATAAACCATTTCAACATATGCACCTACATCATGGTTACATGGTGGTAACAAGATAGGTAGCTCAAAATGACCGAGTCTTTAGCAGAAATACAAAAAGTCGATGATGACATGATTACAAATATGTCATCAATCTCCAGCTGAATATTTCACGAGAAAATGAATTGAAAATTGTAAGAAAGAAGAAGAAGAAAAAAAAGGTAAAACAACTTGTAACACAGACTTTAGTTTTTAAAAATTATACATGTAGAAATTATTCCAAAGAATATACTTCTTGTCATCGCCCTTTTAAATAACGTAGAAGAGAAACAACCAGATGTTATCACGAGAAAAACTGAATAAAAAACGAAGACATGCACTGTTGAGAAAATCATAGAGAAATTCCAAAAACGTATATTGGCTACAATAATATAATAGCCTTCACTACCATCTTAATAACCATCGAAGATATTATAGGGAACAGTCCAAAAGACGTACATTTGAAATAACAACATTATAACAACCTTCACTACCATTTAATAACCATTCTCAGAGAAATGGGTCCGAAAACAAAATGCAAAGGAACAGGATGAACCTGATTAATTAAAAAAAAAAAAACGTGTGATGAGATTAAAGGAATGATCGAAACAATACCATTAAAATTCGGGTTTCAGCACTGAGATGGGAAGAGCACAGATAGCCCATTGTATAGCTTAACAAACAACAAACAAACCGTGATGATATATTTTTAAGAAGTAAAACTAATTTCACACAAACAGCTGGTATCAGTATAGAACTGGATGCATAATTTAATGAGATAAAAACCTACATTTGATTTCAACACAGTATGAACATTGTAATAATACCGAGAAGAATACTTTACATAATCTAGGTTCCAAAGATATAATCTTTAAAACGTATGATAAGGATAATACAATAGTTTTAATGTCAAACACGTTTTACAGTAGAATAGTTAAGTAGATGGGCACTATGCAGTCTCTTTCTGTTTTTGTTATTAATGATGGGTTAATAATAGTAATCATACAAATAGTAATAAGTGGGGTGCCTTTTACTTTCATATTATTGAATTTCCATTATTACTGCGATTAATTTATTGCTTTCCAATACAGACAAATGTTTCGTGTTTTGAGCATATTTAAATTTAATTAAATGTTTATACAGAGATTTGGGATTATTAAAACAATATGTCATCCGATGTGACAACGGTGGTTTTACGAACTTACAAAACTAAAATTCGGGTTTCAATTCCTCATGGTGTACAAAACAGATAGCCCAATGTAGCTTTACTCTGAATCAAATAAATAAACTTATGACAGTGGATGAAAAGTATTTGGAGAAGGGTGGCCGTGTTTACTTGTAGCCTATGAGTGCAATTTCACTGGTTATGGGCCCCGGCATGGCCAGGTGGCTAGGGCGCTCGACTCGCAATCTCTCGAGCCGCGGGTTCGAACCCCCGTCACACCAAAGTTGCTCGCTCTTTCAGCCCTTGGGGCGTTATAATGTGACGGTCAATCCCGCTATTCGTTGATAAAAAGATAGCCCAAGAGTTGGCGGTGGGTGGTGATGACACTGCTAAATTAGGGACGGCTACCGTAGATAGCCTTCGTGTAGCTTTGCGCGAAATTCAAAACAAACAAACTCCATAGTTAATGACAGTGCTTCTTCTTGTGTAATCGACAGGTCCGCAATGTCAACCTTTTTCTTCTCTACCCGTCGTTGCACCTGTTTTCAGAACCCAATAAATCTTCAGCGAAACCACAGCCAAGGGAACGGGCTTGGAAAAATATCTTTGATAGTGACTGGAATTTTTATACTCTTTGAAATATCATCAATAGTGACTGGAATTTTGATACTCTTTGAAATATCATCAATAGTTACTGTTATTTCCTCGATTACCTGAATGCACAAGGTTCAGAGATGTGTGACTTGAAATCGTTGCAGCCACTGTTAGTGCAACTAAGATGAACCTTTTGACTGCCTTTGTTGAGACAAGTCCATCTATCAAGCCCAAAGATGCTGTGGCGACACTCAAAAATAGGTTTGGTGCTGATAAGAACAGTACTGATAGTAGTAGTAGCCTTCCGCCAGATCAGAAAATCAAGGCAGTTTCCAACCTCTAACAGACAATGACGAAAGGTCGCATGATTTTATTTGGGAATCAAAAAAAAAGGAAAAAATATAATAAATTCGTGTGTGTGTCTGTTGTAGGTCAAAGATACATGGGGTTTCTGTTTGGCTGCACCACCTTATTGCTCATGACTTCGGACTGAAATATGTTACCATCATATGGATTGCATAATTGAATACGGCAGGTTTCGACCATTCCAAAGGCATATGCAACACCTAAAATAAACAATTATCTGAATTTCTTGTTCCTTGTACTGCTACCCCAAAACAGTACTTCGCCTTTGGTTGAGGGAGAGATCTTGTGTTAATTGAAGCTGTAAAATTAGTACTGATCAATAATTATTTTTTCAGTAATAATGATTTCTATCATCAGTTAATAGGACTGCCATATGAACAAAAAGGCACCTTCCTATGTTATTTTAGTGATGAGATTCTTAGAAGAGAAAATGTATACGATTGTCGATTAAAGAATGAAGTCAGATATTAGCTTTTATATGGTGTCACAATGACTCGGATACATTGAGGATTGTTGTATTATTTGGAATTAATATTTAAATTAGTTTGATATTAGCCAAGTTTTAAATGATAAACAGTGTGTCCCAGATGTCTGGACCCATAAGGAAAACAGACATTATATTTTTAACGTTAAACAAACACATTTCTAATGTCAGTTGTACATATTTCGGAAAGAAAATACCTTGCTGGCACAGTATGCCAAGAATTGACACGTGTATGGCTGTTAATAGCATGCAGTTTGAATAATAAACGAATTAAGAATAAATTTTGTATTTTTCCATATGGGTTAGACTTCTGGGACACCCTGTATTTTCAAAAATTTAATTTACTGTTCAAAAGGTTTGTAAAACAATACACTTCTTGGTCGTATTGACTGAAGGATCCGACAATGACTCTTTAGAAATTACATTTTTTATAAAGTGGCCAAGTCACACGCTTATTTGGATTTTAGAATTACCCATCCTGGACACGTCAAAAAAGTATCTAATATATGCTAGCAAAGAGAATGAATGTAAAGATTGTAAATAATAAGGAAAATATGTATTATATTAAATAAATTTAAAATGTTTTATTAAATAGAAATTATCCAGAGGGCCTAATTGACAATTGTATATTTCGCGCCAAATTATATGATCCAAAAGCTAATGATTAGTCAGCAATGTTACCAGTCATTACTACACATAAGTTATAACTCAGGGTGACGTGTTATGATTTAACGATTTTGATTGCCTCCTGTACATCTAAGCACTATAAGAAGAGCTGTAAGTAATGTTAGTGTTATTGTAGCTTATAGACAACCTAAAAACTCGAATAACTGTCTGTGTTATAAACAAAATACTGAAAATAGAAAAGAGGGCGTTACTCAGTGTAACAACTTAAAAGTGAACTGTGTAATTTAGGTTATACTTCCATTCCAATGCTAATAGTAATATCATTACAAATACAGAGGGAAATGTTATGTTTAAAACCATTTTTTTTTCTCTTGCTGTTCTGAATAAAGCTGATATTTAATCGATATCTCTGGACAATGAGTTGTGGTTAGTGATATCACATTTTCATTGTTATCCTTATATTGAATTCTTTCTTTCCCTATTGACATTCACCAAATTAAAATCTCTATCAATACTCTTCTCTGGGTAATGAAATTTTACCAAATTCGTCCAATTCAGGTAACCTGAGATTTTTAACTTCCGGATTAGATATTAACGTGTATAACCTTTGTACCAGAGTAACAATAACAGGGATATTCAATATGACTTACTTGGGATGATTGCTAAAAGAAAAATTAAATATTTATATGAATTAGTTGATTTATGATAAACATCAGTTGTAACTTCATAATTTTCTTTAGCCACTATAACAATATCTGAGAATTGATAGTTCGTTTGGAGTTTACTTACTGACTAAGTATTATTTTATTACAAGTTACAGATTTTACAGTAAGGAAAATTTGTTTTTAGAACAGGTACTACATTTCGATGACTGGTGCGATCATTCTCGAGTACACAAGCTTTATCTTTCTGTAAAAGCTGTAACTTGTAATGAAATAATATCTAAGAATGTTACAACTTACAATGTTTTCACTTTACACACACGTAACTGTTTCATTTAGTTAATTTAAAACCCGGGAGAAAATTTCAGTTATCGTAACTTTTGTTCCAAATAATAAAACAATCATCCAAAATTCTCCTTCATGTTACCTTTAAGTACTTTATATCTAAATCTCAAAATAGTTTGGAAGGAGGTCAAACAATTTACTTTCATGAAAACCCATTACTTGCGTTGCATATGATGGTGCAACTTTAGTGTCCATAGTATTACTATCAGT